TGTACTGCAGCATAGGAATGACAGAATCCGTTAAATACTAGGTTAGAAGTGTCCTGTATGGAATAGATGAGCAGTACGTAGCGTACCGTAGGAATGCGTTCGGTTGTTTCCGAGTGATGGAGTTCGTGATTCGGAGTATGCTGACAACATCGGATTCCCAAATCAGTGGCACTAGCGCCTACTGAGCTGTATAGTATCAATGCAGAGTTCGGTGACTAAGGCCCGTGCTGCGCAGGTCAACTCAGGGTTTAGATTGTGGTGCCCCCTGTGCGAGAGAAGGCTGGAAGCGAAAGCAAGGTGGCCAATAAAGGACTTGGGTTCAAAGCATAAAGACGAAAACCCCAAAAGTTGGCCGACTCCCGGGACTAAGGTGCAAGGACTAAGAACATACTTGGAGTGCAACTCCATCGTACAAGGTAAGAACTCGTAGACAAACGCGGACATGTTGTGAAACCCTACTCTTGTGATTACAGACTTCACCATCTCTTTCTTTTCATCGTATCGGATTTATCCACAGGTTGCAGCACTCTGTCATCATCATCATAATCACTACACATTAGATGAAGGTGAGAAACACACTTCATCTAACTGTGCCTAATACAAAAGATAAGACACATGAAGACCGAGATAGCAAACATTGCCGAATATATAAAAAACTAAAAATAAGTAATACAATGGCAAGCGTCATATTATCCATGCAGTGTGAGATCGAGGTCGGAGGAAGATAAGCGGGAGGGAGAGAGACAACGAAACTCACAACATAAACACCACTGAGATTGGCTCTTTGCCCTGTCAACAAGCGTATCCAACCAAATTTGTTCATCGTCCTTCGGACCTCAGCCTGACAGTCGGAAGACACCAACCGACGCCAAGTTCGAAGTGAGGGTCTTCATTCCTCTTGACCAAATTATCGCTTGGCCTCCCTCCCCTTCTTCCATCCCCACCTCCGGCGCGCAAACAACGCACATCACTCGAGTCGGTGTGCTCGCATGCGCAACATGTGGCCAAGCCATCGGAGCCTGGTGTATAACATAACGGTGCTGAGCGGTTCACTCAATCTGCTGCATCAAATATGCGACGCCGAACACGCTCATCGTTCACGCCGTGTTCCAACCAGATATGAGCCAAACTATAAAGACATGGATGGTCGAACGTAACAAGCCTCCTTAGGTCTGTCGAGCTGATACGCCAGGCTTCGCAATCGTACAGGATGGTTGAACACACGGCCGCGTTATAAATTCCGATATTACAGGCGAGAGTGATGTCTCTCTGACGCCACAGGCGAGGAAGATTGGCAAAAACAACCCGGAGCCTTGCTATACGGTTTGTGATCTCATCTTTTATTCCACCGGCGCTAATATAGCTGTCAAGGTACTTGAATTTCAGAAGGACTTCTAGCTGATCCCACCAATCGTCAGCGAAGGAGCGGATCCAGCCAATCTTGAAGAAGGACTTTGCATTTCGAGGGTGTAAAGCACAACCCGAAACCGCTGACAGCCAGCGCAAATCTGTCCAGTGCTGCTTGGCACGTTTGGGAGCCGTCAGAGATAAGGGCGATGTTGTTGGCATACTCCAAGTCAAGAAAGTTGTTCATCTGGAAGCAGCTCCACACCTAAATCATGTCTAGCGAATGTCATTTCCATGAGTTCGTCTATGGTGAGATGGAGAGATGACAGCGGGCAACCTTGTCTCATACCACTGGAGCGGCAACAGTTTGCTACAGGCTTTTACTCTGTCCGAACTAGGTGCGCACAACGCTCTGATTAAGTTTAGGTATTTCTCGGGCAAACTTATTCTGTGCAGTTAGTCCCAAATAGCACATCAATCCACCGAATCGATGGCACCTCTGATGTCAAGGAACACGACTACGGTGGTCCGCCAATTGATATGGCGATGTTCCAACAATGGCCGCAAAGTGAAGGTGTGTTCAATACAGCCACGATCTCGGCGAAATCCGGCTTGCACCTCACAAAGCTGAATTTCACAGGTGTCAGTCTATGGAGCACGATAGAGACAAGCAACTTAGATCAGACTGATCCCCCTGTGATTGCCGCAATCAGAACATGAATCTCCCTTGGAAATTTGGAGCGGCTCTAGTCTGCTGGAACAATCTGCAGCTCCCACAGCTTCACAAGTAAGTTGTGTAATTCATCTACAAGAGCAGTTCTCCCCAATTTGTACAGAGCTGGAGGAAGTTCATCTGCTCCTGAGGTCATGTTCAACTTCCGCGCGTGAGGGCGGATCCAAGGTGACGGCTCAGGGAGTAAGGCGATAAATGTCCGATAAGGAAGATTATAACTGGTTGATTGAATCGCTTTTCAAAGTGTTCGGCTCAACGCTCCAGGCGTTTTGACAAGCTGCAGACTAGATGTCCACTCTCGACGCATATAGTTCTGCTAATACGAGGCCTTCTGCTGACCGTTTCGCGTATCCGACGGAATAACTGCCGGTGGTTACCAAGGGCAGCGGATGCCTCCATTTCCGATGCACGATGAGACCATCAGGGATCGCAGTCTATCTTCAGACTAGCACGCAGTTTCGCCCTGAGGTCTTTGCGAGTCTCGTTGTGTTCGCTTCCAGCCGGAATCTGTCGGCGTGCGCCTATAAGTTCCAGAGACTGCGTAGAGACCCGATGTCTAGGTTGCCGATGACTTGCCACATGAAAAGATGCTTGCTGCTAATAACATCTGGCTGATATGTTTAGTGAACGTTTACTCAAGTCGCATGCCAGCGTACTTTGATACGCATTCAGAACCTCTGACATCGCCAATTGGCAAGTATCTATGCGCTCACAGTGTCGTTGCGGACGTCCACTAAAACGTACCCGCAGTTCGGGACATACGAGTGCGTGGTCAAAGTCCATGCCTCTGCTCCAAACGGATCATTAGTTTCAGAAGCAGTCTCTCAAACGGTAACTGATCGCTATGTGATCGATTTGCGCCCATTGTTGGTCCGACGTTGGGGGCGCCATGTCACCCTCCAGCGGGTGCTGTGTCGGAAGTTAGTACTCGCGAGAATTAGATGAGCATCCTCATACAGGTGCATCAACCGCTCACGATTATCATTACAAGTGCGTACACCGTGTTGGTCTCCCAGATGAAGCTCATCAGTGGACAAGTTTCCAACTTGGATGTTCAGATCGCCAGCAAGCCCCACAGTATCCGTACCCTTTCTGAGACGAAGGACCTCGTTTAATTGGTGATAAAATTCATCTCCCACCGAATCAGTGCCACAGTTTGTGGAGGCGTAGGCGGCAATGACAAGCAGGCACAGTTTGTCTCCACACGACTTCGAAGCTTGGAACCATCCAGCCAACCTGACGGCGCACAACCGGCTGTTGACTGGGATCCAATCGAGCAGAGCAGCTTCAGCTCACACTGAGTTAAAGGGCATTTAAAGCTGCGTCATCTCCGGACAAGCGCAATGAGAAAGTGCCGCATGTGGGAGATCGCAAGGTACGCACAGAGCTCGAATTTTGCAGGCGGGTTTCCGATAAACAGTAGATGTCGACCGATAGGGTATCTAGTGTTCGGGCAAGTACTGCCGGCTGGCCAGTCTTAGGGAGGGCTAAGGGCTCCAAATAGGAATGGATGAACTGGCGTCGTCCGCTTGGTTGAATATGGACTTGTCGATTGGACCATAGCAACGCCCTGCGGTTGCGTACGTGTGGAAACTATAAGACAAATGTCTATGGTAGCAAGATGGTGGTCAAGAATTGGGGGTTGAAAACGGGGGACAACAGTGAGGTTAGAGAGGAACCATAAGGATGAAAAAGCGAAGGGGAATAAGAAGACGAGGAGGATCGAGCAGTATCATTCAAATCCTTATCCACTCTGTTCGATGCAGCAGATAGGGCGTCGTTAATTATACACTGCGGCGGTCAGAATATCAGGGAATTGTTTGAAGAGAAATTCATTGCATTGCACTGAGAGGGAACAAAACTATCAAGTCGCTCAAACGTAGTCAGGAGAACGATTAGGGTTCTCGACCGAAACCTGTTTTAAAAACCTGACCGCAAGGCAGCGGGCTTAAGGCATTGGACTACATAATGTTTTACGGAGAAAGGAGTAATATTCACTCCAACCCTGAACCTGGAGGGCAAGGAGATTGTCTGTCTGGCCAAACAAGTATGAGTGGTTCTGAAGGTGCAGAAAACACAATCAAGCATAGCTCAATGGATTGTTGAGACACACAAACCATCGCGCCCCATTAAGGTTCAGTGCCGTCGCGATGGAGAACTCTGCTACCTGTCGTGTTATTGGCCAAGTGTTAAACATGTATGAACAAACATTGCTAACTTCCAAATGCCAGCTTATCCATTTGACGAAACCTATTATTATCAATTCCCGGGGACGTTTTCATTCTCTTCCGGATCGCAAGTGTGTTGTTTACCAGATTTCTAGTGCCTTGATGGTGCAAAATGCGTTAGGTCGACCCATCAAAACTCGGCGGTCGTCATATAGGTAAGGAATGAAGTTAAAAACTTATGTAAATGCCAGGGGCCGTAAGAGTAAAAAAGATGAGTGGAAAGTAAGGATTCCAGGCGTTAGCACCAACTGATGCCATATGCCACAGTGTAAAAATTGACCACTCTTTTGTAACTCACAAAATACAAACCATCTCCAATCAATTTCTGGTGGAGATATAGGCAAAATAAGCAGCAGTGAAGAAGAGTAATCAAGAAGTGTAGCGAAGGAATTCAGAAGCAATAAAAAGGTCCAATGGCGGCGCGTCCTAGTGTCTTAAAGGTGTGGACGCATGTTAATAAGCAACACGGAAAAAGCAGATGATGGGGACAATGAAGCTGAGGACGAGGGAAATGCGTTTATGAGCAATGCGAATCAGTGAACACCGTCAGAGGTCAACCGAGCAAAAACCAACGTCTACTAGCAGCGGACACCAAACCAAATAGTGCTAACGTGTAGATGCAAGAAGTCGGTAAAATGTAAAAGAATTCGGAGTAGAAAAAGCGATGGGGCACCGAAGAGAAGTCAACGCACCTGAAGCGGTCTCGTAGACGATTCTACTTTCATGACAAACTTGCCCTCGCGATCGTACTTGCTCCAGTTCAACTGCACAAGCAGCGGAAACTCGTCATTCGTTAAGCGCCGAACTTGAATCGCAGTGAACGGGGAAAAGAACCAGGAAAAGGAACAACGGTGTACGTGAGGGCCAGGTGACAACGAAAGGCAGGAGCGAAACATAGTATGAGGACAATGGTCTGGACATGCAGGCACAAAAACGTATCCCACCCCGAAGTCATAAAACAACCACACAGTCACCCTGAGAGAAGCATGACTTACGACACCTGAATCAGAAGTAGGTAAGGGAGAACATCGTCCAGGCTACAAAGGATATAAGCGGCAGGCAATCTGAAATCAGCAGCCTAATTTTAGATGTTGAATTCAGTCAATAAGTAACAAGTGAAGTCAAAACAGTTAGTTGAAGGTAAGATGGGATAAAGAAAAGAAATATCATGGATGTTCTATTAAATAACTTGTCATAATGAATCATGGAGAACAGTAGTAGCCTTATCTTTGCACGATAGCCAGCTGTCCGTGACGGTATGTTGTTAACACAAGGTGTAGGCGCCTTGACCCTGAATGTCTGCTTAGGGCATTAAGGTTTTCAGGTAAGTCCCTCTTCTCTCCCTCTTCTTATTCTTTATTTCATAGGTCCTCATGGTTGTATGGCAGCGAAGCATCAGTTCAAATGGCTGATGTACTGCTGTTTGATGATGATGTAGTAAATTGAAGCCGAAAAATGTTAAACCAGGAGCTACACACCATTCGTCGAACAAGTAACAAAACCAAAGAGACATGATGATAATCGTCTAGTGGCGGCAACGAAGCAAACAAGAATTGTTGGTGGCATCCGTTTCTAGATTTGCCTGTCACTGCGGCCTCCACGGGGACAGTCACAGGACGCTTGCGCATACAAAAGGACCATGGGTGGCTTGCTCTGCACTATCCACACACCGCATATCCAGTGTAAACCCGAAGGAATAAGACCGGGAGGTATGTAGATGGGAGCCACGTTTCATCAACGGAACCGGCCCACACTCCTACACAGGCAAACACAAGCACGCTGTATTTGGGGAATCAAGCGCACACAAGACGGTGGTTGGATCGTAGTCCGCTCCACACTGAGTGCATGGAACTATTCTTCCAGCCTAACATGGCCACAAGGACCGTGCATCCCCTCCTCTCCAGCAACGACTAACTGTCTCCTGGAACCAGTATGAACGAGGTAGTGGGTAATAGACAGGTAGGCACTTTGTCAACTTGAATATCAAGCGCAGCCACACCGGGGATATCAAACAACAGCCAATCACTTAAAACGACAAGATGAAATAAAATAAATCCAATAATGCATAGAGATACGGTGGCATAACTCTTCGCTAAATTACCATATGAAGTATGTTGGTTAGCAACGAATCTGCGATAAGTACGAAATGTTCACAAGTTATTCAAAAAGATGCTAAAAAGGCGATAAAGTTAACGTAGATAACTATAATTAGTGTAAGCAACATGTGCAAGTTAACAGATTATTCAGGTAGACAGAAGAAACCAGATAAAATGGAATGAAATTTATCCAACTTGAAAAGATCTAGTTTAAGTGTAAGTTGGTTTAGCCCAACTGCGGTGAAGAAGCATCATGAATGCAACATCAACCTCAGCATGGGGCAACGAGGCAAACAATAATAAAGGATACCTAATAGCATAGAGTTGGCGAAAATTAGGACGGGATGTACACAGTTAAGTTTCAGGTTTGGCGGGTGAACAAGGCAAATCTGGAAATCAACCGTCCCCGCCAAGTTAAAAATCAAGTAGAGTGGTGAATAAGTCAAATCAAGATAAGCTTTATACACCCGTGTGGGAACATTTTCGGCAATGGGAGCATTTTCGGTAATGGAATATGAGAAAAATCGATCAATTAGTAGGCGACCGAGGGCAGTTGCCTGCCAACAGAGCACAGGTGTTAGGTACCAGTACACTACTGATGCCTAGAGGCAAAGTCATCAGCAGTACGCCGCCACACCATGCTGACGCTTTGCTGCCCCGCAACCACCATCAGTCGGGTGTGCGCTAGGGATACGGTGATAGTCACCCGGTCCTCTACCCAGACTTGAACTCGTGAACTCCGCATTACAAGGCAGGCTTGTGATGCTTTCGGCCCCGGGCCGGTTGATGTCGTTCTCCTTCAGTAGACCTTGTGGCCCCCGTAGCATGCGCCTACGTGTGGCCATGTCTTGCAACGTTGCTTACAAGTTGCAGATAGTTCAACACAATTATAAAGTGTCCATTAATGTTACAGGGAAATAGACACATTTCTATCAATCTATTGAAAGTACAAAACGAACACAAGGGGAACGCTGGATGTGTCAGATGAGACAAACAGGTGGACTATGAGATGGTAAAATAAGCAAGTTGTTAACAGATAAATGCAGGCCGACTAGTAAACTGAAAACCTGGAAATGCCCCTACTAGTTACATAATGCCGGGAGCGCAGAGCTACAAAATCCAACGATTAACATCGGTTGGTGTTGATGAAATAACATAAACCATGAACCAAAACATCAATTACTTTTCACTGGGTCCAAATCGAAACAACTGATCTACCGTGGTGTCGCGGACAGCACAAAATGCTGACTATAGGGTGGAAAAAGAATATTTTGGCATCAGACCCGTATGGCATAATTGCGGATGTCACCAAGGTTCAAAGTCAGTCGTCGCCTGCAACTAAGATGACTTGCTAGTTTTGCGCTTCAAAATCATTCCTACCTTATACTACCAAACCCAACAAGAGTACAACGCCCCCTACACGGGATACACTAAGAGCAACAAGCTTCAACTAGTGGTGACTGCACGGACAGTGACATCTCGAATAGTGTCTGCTTTTATAAGTCGAGAAATCTATCGTAGATGCCACCATCCGTTGCGAAACAATAACGCTTAAGTAATCGAGATCTGCGACATCCTAAGTGATATACTGAATGCGGTAGATAAAATTTATTACAGAAAACTCTGTAGACCGCGGGAGTAGTAGGAGTGAGGTTCATAAAAATCAGAACGGAGTCGATTATTGGGGCAGGGCTAGGATTTGAACACGAGTGGCGAGCATGGTATAAACGCTAGAAATGATAATAGAGGATGAAGCAATTCAGTTACCAAACTGTGAGCAGCGCATGGAAGCGTGGTGAATCATTGCAATGTCACAAGTAACATTAGCGAAACAAACTGAGGTCTACTGGAATCAGGTTAGAGAAAAGATGCCAATACTGTATGGAGGAAAGATAACAATTGGAAGCGAAGGATTGAAAGAAAACACAGTAACGACCACCTGACAACATCATAATGGTAAAGCTGAACTAAAAGAGTAGGGTAGAACAAAATGGTCACATTTAAAGGCAACCAGAGTCGATCAGGTCCATTCCGTTGGGAGATAAAAGTAGGTACATTTCGGTTAAACTTGAGGTGTGTGGCCTGGGTGAAATTGAAACGGTCGATGAGAAAAGTGGATTTTATGGTAAGGTGCACAGAACAAGTGATGTAGAAACGGGTACCATGGAGCGTGACCGGAAAATTCACGCGCAAATTTTTCGACCCACGATAATCAATTTTATTCCGAAATTTCGCGTTTAGATAAACTTACGGCGAGAATCCAAGCAAAAAGCAAATGAAAAGTTGATGGAAAAAAGGTCCCTAGCGTCAAGGACCCCTTAAGAAGGCAACGGCATATTTTTAGTAAAATGCTTGTAATAGGGGATCATCCCAAAAGAAGCCGCAACATACCTATGGAATCATCATCATCATACACGTTGGCTAGAGGTGGGGAACACCTCAGCTACTGTGCCGCAATACACAGAAAAAAGGAGAAAAAAGAATGCTACTGGTGCAAGCCGGCTGAGCTACCGGTAACGGATGGGCATCGTTCCGGTAAGCTACCAGCCGGCTACTGTGCATCAAAAAATACTATGCGAAATTATATAAAGCTAAATAATGAGATCGTGGTTGGAGAGGGAGGCTAAGAGGGATGGGGTGGGACAAAGAAACTCACAGCACGAACGCCACTGAGGTCGGCTCCTAGCCATATCAGCAAGTGTGTCCAACCAAACGTGTTCATCGTCTTTCGGACCCCAACCAGGGAGCCGAGACGCTCCAACCGAGGCCAGCTCAGAAGTGAGGGCCTTCATTCCTCTCAACCAAGTCATCGCTTGGCCACCCCTCCTCTGCTTCCATCCACACCCCCGGCGCGCAAACAACACACGTCGCGGGAGTCGGTGGGCTGGCATGCGTAACACGTGGCCGAGCCATCGGAGCCTGGTGCGTGAAATGACGGTGCTGAGCGGTTCATTTCCTTTTCCTGTGCCGTAAACAAGGCGTCTAACACGATCGTTGCTCACGCGGTGTTCCCACCAGATGTGAGCTAAATTACGAAGGCACCGGCGGTCGAACGTAACTAGCCTCTTCAGGTCCGCTGCTTTAAGCGGCCAGGTTTCACAACCGTACAGTAGGGTCGAACGTACCGCTGCATTGTACACTCTACCCTTCAGGGCTTGTAATAGAAGAAGCCGCAACATACCTATGGAATGCATTTACGAAGAGTAAAAGCTCAGGCACTATACCGAAACCATGAGTTTCGACCACAATTTTCAATTCAAACAGACGAGTAAAAATGAACCGAGAAGATACATCAAGGCTGTCAGGCAACCGCAAACGGCTGTTTTTGCCTGGGTGACTTTAAGTCATATATTCCTTGTCCGTAGCAGTTAGTAGAACAAAACAAAGTGTCAGCCGTAAGTCGGAATGGTGTTTCGCTACCGTGCGACCACCACCAGTCGCACGCGGGCTGAGTATACAGCAAGGGCGCCCATCCCTACGCGGATTGGAACTCGCGCCCGCAAGATTACGTGACAAGCTCGTTATCTCTAGTCTAGGGGTAGACAGCAGTCATTAGTTGTACAGTTCACAAGACAAATAGCTGCGATTCAACCATATCTAACTGAGAGACAGAGAAGTCACTATTCGTTCTTTGTCTCGGTTACCATTAACAGTATCTTGCGAACCGGTTTAATTAGAAGCTACCAAGGAGAGCTATCGTCTGGCAACCGACAGCTCGATAAGAACACGATTTGCCGACAATAGTAGATTGATGGAGTAGCTAAGGACGAATGAACGAAGACCATCAGTAGTATCTAGCTACATAAAGGAATATCACAAGTCATAATGGCATCCATAAAAAAGCAACATAGACACCTGGGTTTTCTCCGGGTGACTGAGGTTTGGTGGATCTGGTTATTGGGTCAAAGCTAAATGAAATGCAGTTAACATGGCAGATGAGAATGGGAGACCAAGAATCATTCGCAGTAGCACACGGTCTAACGAAAGCAGCGTTATACATTCATTCCAGTGAATCGGAATAGCCGCAAAAAAACCCGGCACAGGAAATTAGAGTAAAACGGAAACGGAAATCACATACGGAAACCGGTGCGAAAGGGAAGTTTACATGCAGTATGAACGCTACAGCAAATGCCAAATGAACATGTTGACTCCTATACTGATGCCTAACTGGCACGTGGTAAGAGAGCAACGGTGGCGAGGTGATCACGATACAGGAGGCAACCCCAAATACCCAAGCAAACTCATTTGACGTCCATGTGCCTGAACTCTCATAATAAAAATACACAGTGAGTGCAAGCCTAGTAGATGGCTAAAATTAAGTGAAAGAATGTGTTAGAGCGATAAAGGAGCCCTTTATGAGGTACTGGTGTAGGCAACACGTCAGGATCTGTGAGGATAAAGGACAAAAATAGAAAAAGTGAACGGAGATTGGTCACGCTAAGCACAGTGATCGGTTATGAATAATTGGACATAAGGTACAGAGTCGGTATGAAGGGGCAATTCGGGTTTTTCACGCGCAAGATCACAGGTGAGGTCTAGCTGAAAGTACTATAAAAGAAAAACAAAACCGGACAATTGGTTTCGTTCAAAAATAAGAACAGTGCTGACAGCATGTAAGGAGTAGATAACGCGATATGCAGAAAATGAGCGGGTCGAGTGAGCCTATCATGGAAACCAACGCAACCCAAAACCTACAGCCAGAAAGTTGATGGTTACATCAATCACAGTTCACGCTACACAGCGTCGCAAACGAGGAACAAACGTAAACAGTGAGCCTTAAGTGATATACCCGAGCGGGTGAACCTTTCTCACTTAAATGTACTGATAAAGTAAACGTTCTGTAAGTAACAACAATTTAGGCGAGTGAATGAGTGAGTAACAGCTGCGGGTGCATAGTTAAAGCAAATGAAGAGAAATGGTACTATAAATGACTTAGTATACCCTTTGTTCGGTTCATTCAAGGAACCATTATCCGAGGACCGAGGTGACGTGCATATAGTCGCTGTGACTCGTCGCTGGGCCAACGAAAACCAGCGATTATATGAAAAAGGGGTCAAAGTATTAGCAAAATACAAGTGGAAATAAATGAAAAATAAGGTAAAATTCACTCAGTTGGCAGTTAACAGTCGGTTGCAACTGACTGAATACAGGAATCAGTGACATGGCGGCGTCCTCAACCACTGATGTTGCTAACTACGAGACCACCACTTAAGTCACTCAGTCAACTTCGTCATAACCTCATACCATCTCATCGGCTGACTAAACCGTAGTTTTTCACAAGCAAGTGCAGTAGTGGTAGATAAGATAAACCGAAGTAGGAGGTTTACCGGCATACGAGCACCTTCCTGGGACTACAGACACAGTATGTTAAAGATCAATGCTCCAACACTTCAGAATGCGGACACATCAAAGTTGCCATATTTTCGTACATACAAATCTCCGTGTCAAAGAGCCAAGGCAAAGTCGACGGACCGTACACCGCAAGGTGTAGCTGCGAGGTGAGGAGTTGGGTAAGGCTAACTTTTAGCGCCGCAAAAGATAATGCTCCTTTTTAAGTGCAATTTTTATCACCGATTGAGTGCACACTAGTCGTTCTTGTTTGACTACTCACTGCACCTGCCCATGTTTGCCACAACTAGCCCACTTTTCCACAAAGTGAGTTACAACTTAAGGAAAAAAGCAGAAACGCTAGCTTCCGAAAAAAGGAGAGAAACCGATATGAAGCAAACAGGATATCACACAAGTAAGAAGTTCAGGTGCTCATCCAAAGGCCTACATAACTTGAGAAAATGATGAAGACACGTTTGTTTAGTTGGATAATTCGTGAGGGATATCCCCACTACACAACCATTGTTTCAAATAAGAGCAAGACGTGTTGCAATGCAACTGGACATCATAGCGAGAAAGGTAATTTTTAAGTGCAGCAAAATGTGAAGGGTGACATGACAAACCTAACATTGCCAAAATTTCTCTGGCGTATGAAAATAAGACGGCAAACGAGTGTGATAGCCTGAACGATGCAACAAACATTTGGGAAAATATAAGCTTTTTCGTTAAGAAATTACTTTAGAAAGCATAAGTGTACGACAGGTACTTGCGTTATGCAAAAGAGGGATAAACACAACGTCAAGATTCCATCTTCCATTCCGGGAAAATGCTACCCGATCCACGTGGTCCCATAGGAACCAGACATGGTGATCCAGGTTGTGGTGGGTACAATCAGATGAGGAGCTGCTATAAGAATGAATTCACTTGAAGTGGAAAACAAAAATACCCAGCATGGGACTGCTCGATAGATGGGGAATTATGAATATGGCAGCTGCAAACAAACTATGAGAACGGAAAAGACCGAAGCAGCCAAGAAGACAGTTGCGATAAAATGCGACTTAGTAGAAAGTTTCTTAGCGAGTAAACGATCGGTAACAGGCTAAAGGTGGTAGTCGACAACAAGCGCAAACCGCGAGTAAGCAGTCGACGAAAACCAGTGGTCTTAGTCACAAAGGGGCAGACGTAAAATTGTGAATTCTAGGCACCCCTGATACATACACAATGCGCAATATTGATGATCCCCGGAAAGGGGAAATGACCGCTCAGTACTTTACCCATGGGCAATTAATGCGGCAATGGTGAATCTCCATGGAAATATTAACCATAAATAACTCCGGATATCGAAACCAAAAATCCGTGCGACAAGTTTAACATAATAAACGCTGATCGCGAAGAGAAATTTACCTCCACTAGCGTGATGCTCGTAAATGCCAAAGTGCATGTGCTTAATAGAGCTATCTAATGGAAAAAACTTTTCACGCAGAACTTCGACAAGTTCTGAACTTCTCTGTTTGCTGGAAACACGGATGCACTTCGTCTGAAACCGACCAAGTTCGTCTTGGTAGAAAAAGCGCATGACGCCATTGAACTCGCCATCCTAGAATTCAATACGGAAAACATTGTATGTACCTCAGCAGGCATTGAGAGCTCAAACAGACCAAGTCTGTTTGTGTTCCAATCTATAATCCGCTCTATAAGCTTCTTTCTAGGAGTTAGATCATCAGGCATTCGAACAGCTTGAAGGAATATTGAACGGTGCGCCGAAAGCGGACAAAACCTGTTGTCCTCTTCAAGGTCACGCGTTTTGCGCGCCAGCAAGTAATGGTAAGAGATTTGAAAAAATGTAAGCGAATATCGATATAAGCAAATGCGTCCGTAGTATTCGCTTATATTGCTATCCAAAATAAAACAGCTATATTTGGCTGTGCAAGCCACGACCTGTCTCTGTGAGTGCTACGCGGTAACTCGACTTTTTGGCGTGCCATACTGATCGAGATTTTTAGTTGAATTAACGTGGAAAGTAGTGTTTGAATATACACTTGAAACGAAATTTGACTATTGTCAAATTTCCTCTGATCCAAGATATCTTGGATCGATTAAAGCGGTTCTGTTCAAAGCGTCTTTGGCGCTTACTGGTAATTTTTCCAGTTTTTCCCAGTTTTAACCCCGTTTTACACCCCGTTTTTGCCTTTTTTGAGGTCGTTTAACTATTGCATACGTGTTATAATCACTCTGTTTTCCACTATGTCGGTCTCGCAATGCACCGAGGCTGTTGTTCCTGATGGCTCGGGTTCTGAGGTTATCGCACTTTGTGGCGGCCCAAGCTGCAATATACCAGTAACTGACGATTCCGGCGGTATGCGATGCGATGTCTGCAACCGATGGTACCATCAGCTTTGTACGGAGCTAAATACCGAGCAGTACGCAGCGCTGGCCTCCAGCGAAATGTTGCTTTTCAGTTGTGCCAATTGCTGCAGCAGCCGGCAAGGCCGCACAGCCTTTCGTACGAGAGACGAATCTCTTGAGACCCGGCTGCGAAATGTAGAGCGTTCGTTCTCGATGCTCTCTGATCTTCGCTTTAAGATTGATCTGCTTATGACGACGCTTCCGGTCTCCAACAAAGCAGATTTGATCCCTTACACTGATGATCAACTTGTGGCACCTATCATTATGTCACCAGTCCAGATGGCTACCGATCACCAAAATGAAGCAGCTTCGGACGTCGTAACTAAACCTACCCTGATCGACGCCGAATTGCTGGTTCAAGGGTCACTTCGAGTTAAGCGAAGAAGAGCCAGGAAACCTCGTAAGCTCTCTGCTAAACAAGAAGTTGTTGTCTCGGCACCGGAAACAAGCCAAGTGTCGTTACTTGGCAAACCGTCTGACGGTTGTGCGAAGGCGAAGATCCCAACACGCACTACTTGTCAGCCGAAGTTGCCGGAAATCTTGGTTCTCACCGAGAAGACATATTCTGAAGGTTTGCTTGATTCTGCTCAAAGCGAAAAAGCCTCACGGGACCCTGCTCCTGTTATCAAGAAGAAAAAGCAGACAAAATCTGCTATAAAGCCTTCCGGTGAAATCGATGACCCTAACAAAAGTAAGACATCGATAATGGAGCGAAAAACATACGCTACCTTTGCTACATCATCGGAGGGGCTAAAGACAGTTCCATCACCAGTAGTGAAGCCACCTGCTCCGAGTGCCGAATCAAAGACCCGTGGGGTTAATACACCCCGTCGTGGCGATTCTTTCACGGATAGTAGCGTTATATTCCGTAACGCGGCTGAATCTACTGCTGTCCTTCCTGCTGATCGCATGTTGGACGACCTTCAATGGTTTAAAATGCGCGTAACGAAACCTCTTCCGCCTGGTTTTCCAGGCGTTACAGTCAGGAAGCTGATTAGACTGGGGAACGTCCCAGTTAACGTACCAAACCCGCGACCGCGGCTACTTCGTGTGGTACTCTCTACCCCGGAGGAACGCAATGCTCTCATGCGATTTGCGTTTAAGCTGAAAGGTACAAATATTAGCGTTCAGCCGGATCTTCCGCTAGCCGATAGGCTGAAGCTAAAGGAGGCCATCAAGGACCTCAAAAGCAGGCGAGCGGCCGGTGAACAAGGTCTCCGGTTAGTGGGTTTTCGGGTGGTCAGCCGGCGGTCCTTTTCCGCCCTACCACTGCCCATTCTGGTAGCGCACGACCCAGGTCTGGATCTAACGAAAACCTTCAGATAGTGCTAAGTAATGTGCGCAGCCTAAGGAATAAGGTGTACGAGTTAGGTCTGCTTGTAGATGGGTCTCATCCCGATATACTCGCATTCACTGAAACGTGGCTGTCTCAGGACATCACGGATGGTGAAGTACATCTATCTGGCTACGCACTATTTAGATGCGATCGCTCTGCTGGCCGACAGGGAGGGGGCGTCGCTCTTTATGTGAGCTGTAAACTTGACGTTTAGAAGACTTGCTTATTTCAGTCGGCAGACAAAACTGTTGAAGCTCTATCGGCTGTTATTAGCACATCCTCGGCTCAGGTTACAGTTGTAATTGTGTATAGAAGCCCTGGGAGCGTATCCAAAGAGGTACTTGAATTCATTCGCTCCCAGTCCGCAAATAAGTGTTTGGTGATGGGCGACTTCAACCTCCCAGAGATTTGCTGGGCAGATCTTTCTTGCGACTCAGCGTCAGGCACATTCGGCGCTGATCTGCTTGAACTTACGCTCCAAGTACCTTTGCACCAGTTCATTGACCTCCCCACTAGGTACATGGACGCCCAAGTACCGTCTATCTTAGACCTTGTATTCGCTAAGTCACTCGATTTTGTTGATGACATTACTTACGGACCTCCACTGGGTTCCAGTGATCATGTTTGTTTGCTCTTCAGTTGTACTCTGTCTAGACGCTACCAGAGTACTGTTGAGTCTCGCCCGAACATATGGCAAACAGATTATCAATCAATGAGAGCCAAGGCTTCTGGTTTCCATTGTGAGATCTCATACGACGATACTGTCCAGGTTGCCTGGGATAAATTTAAGTCCTACCTCACAGAGGTCTCTGCTCCCTTTATCCCTGTCAGAAGGAGAAAGGAGGCCCGAGCACAGCCGCCCTGGATAGATCCCACTGGCAGGCATCTGCTCACAAAGAGGTCTAGATGTTGGCGGACTTACCGAGATGCTCCGTCCACCGATACTTATGACAGGTACCGTAAGGCTAGAAATAGGTGTAAGCAACACCTAAGGGATGCTCGGCTCAATTTTGAAAAAGGGTTAGCGGACGAAGCTTCAGAGAATCCAAAAAGATTCTTCGCTTATGTCAAAAGGCGCTGCGGTTCGAACATGTCAATTCCAGTATTGATGCGTGATGACGGTACTCATGCGCATACGGACTATGACAAGGCCTGCGTACTCAGTGGGCAAAATGTGGCAGCGTTTGTAAGGGAAACCTCTTTGACAGGCGTTGAGCTGGTTTGCAGGACCCCAGAGGGTTCAGGACTATGTGAATTTATTGTAGCGGAGACGGAAGTTCGTAGGCTGTTACAGGGGCTGAACCCTTCTAAGGCCTCTGGGCCTGATTTAATTCACCCGAAACTGTTGCATGAGTTGGCTGCGGAACTAAGTGGACCGCTCGCTATTGTGTTTCAGAAATCGCTTGCCAGTTGTGCATTGCCTTCCGAATGGAAGGAAGCTGTCATCTGTCCCATCTTCAAACATGGGGACAGGGGTCTGCCTGCAAATTACAGGCCAGTTAGTCTGACGAGTGTAGTAGTCAAACTCCTCGAGAAACTGGTGAGAGATTCATTGGAGAGTCATCTGAGTAGATTTAATCTACTTAGTAATGTACAACACGGATTCCGGAAGGGATTTTCGTGTCTGACGAATCTGTTGGTGGCTCGCGAAAATTGGGCGGATGCAGTGGATAACGGCCACACACTGGACGTGCTTTTCGTCGACTTTTCGAAGGCATTTGACAAGGTACCCCATTTGAGGCTCGCGCAAAAGCTGTCCTCCTACGGGGTATCTGGCCGCGCCCTTCATTGGGTGACTGCCTTCTTGGAGGGTAGAGAACAGTGTGTACGGGTAGGCCGGGGCCTATCGTTTAGGCAGTCTGTCCTCAGCGGCGTGCCGCAGGGCTCGGTCCTTGGACCGCTGCTGTTCTCTATCTATGTGAATGACCTACCCGCGGAGCTTGAGGTACCATCGCTGCTATTTGCTGATGACCTGAAGCTGTGGAACATTGTTGATGTTCCTGGGGTTCCGAAGCTATTCAGCGAGCATTGCATAAGCTTTGGGACTGGTCTACTTTATGGTTACTGCCCATAAATCAGGCAAAGTGCTCCGTTCTTCGAATTGGAGGAGGTTGTCCTCCTGCGAAGTACTTGGTCGGTGGGGTCGAACTCCCCCGTGTATCTAGCCAGTTTGACCTAGGCGTCGTACACTCTTCGGCTTTACACTCCGGCGACAACTGGAAGAAGGCCGCAAGCAGAGGTTTCCGCATGTTGTGGTTAATCCGACGTTCTTTCGGAGTCTTGACGAGCGACATCTTTACGAGGCTGTTCTCGGCTTTCGTTCGGCCTCATCTGGAATACTGCGTCCAGGCTTGTCCGCCCTGCCTCGTCCGGGACAAATTGGAGCTAGAGAGGGTTTTACGAGTGGGTACTAGGTTAGTCGAGGGATTACGGGGACGGACGTACCCCGAGCGTCTACTTAGTTTGGGAATGCATTCAATGCACTACCGAAGGCTTAGAGGAGACCTAATCCTAACCTACCGTATCTTGACTGGGAAGGTTGGTCCAGATTTATCTTGGCTATTCAGTCCCGCTAGATTGTCTGTTCTACGCGGTCACTCGTTGAAGCTGGACAAACCGCGGTCCGATCGGATTAGGGCGGAAATCCGGCTGTCACGCAGAGTCATCGACCGCTGGAACATGCTTCCGGAAAGTGTTATCAGGGAATCTACGGTTAAGGGGTTTGAGCGGCAACTTGACGCTCTTGGGTGGCAACACGAAACCTTTCCATTTTCCTGAGTAACTCGCATCTTCGTACTTCGATTTTCTTTTCTCTACTTTTCTTCACGTATTGGTATTATTTTCTTATTTAAGTGCATTTCCCTATTCTGTACCTTCGATTTCTCTTCCTATCCTTTGCTTACTTCACGTGACTGCCACAGCAGGGACTGCTAGGGCAGGAAACGTGGGCATTAACTGGTTGGCCAGGGTGCGATACGGGTGTTTCCGTTTTAGATCCATCAATAACTGAGCACTTCATCAATTCCTGGCTCAACGATCCACTCAAGAT